GCATTTCATTTTGTGTCAGGTCAAGAGCATAAGCCAATCTGAACTGAAAGGGTAGTGTGAATAATGGAAGGAGTGAGGTAGACACCATGGGAATAAGAAGACAGTGTGTCTCAGTCCTGCTAACAGCAGCAGTGATGGACTGAGGGGAACCTTGCTTCCTGTCTCCTTCAGCACCTGGGCTGCATCCACACTGTGGAAATAATCCAGTTTGACACCACTTTAACTGCCATGACTCAGTGCTGGGAATTCTGGGAATTGTAGTTTTGTGAGACATTTAGTCTTCTCTATCAGAGAGCTCTTACGCTACAACAAGCTACAGTTCCCAGAATTCCATAGCACTGAGCTGTGGCATTTAAAGTGTTGTCAATCTGTATTACTTCTGCAGTGTGGATGCAGCCCAGGATCCTAATCAAGAGGCCCAACTTTCCAGCATCACTAATTATCCCTATAGTACAGAAATGAATTATTGAGCCCACAACCATCATTTGTGTAAACCTAATGCCTCATATACTACAGATGTTCAGTGCAATAAATATTTAGATTACAATAAGTGATATAAAAAACTGGGCAGTAGCAGTTAAGCACATAATTTATTTGTGCCCATAGCAGAGACAGATATGGATGGGTGTTTCTGTCCTAGTAGATGCTGAGCAAACATAGTGAGTTATAAATAATCATTTTCTAATTTACTTAACTCATGGGATGAATTCATGAACTGACCTGTTTTAATGATCCAGGACCTGGAATTTAAATGCTAAGAGCCTGGACATTTTTCTGAAGCAGCAGATATATTTCAATTAATCCTTGAAAAATATTAATCGATGGTGTATTTTATTTAAGGAGCCAGTGTGGCATAGAGGTTTTGAGCATTGGACTATAACTTTGGAGACTAGGGTTTGAATCCCTGCTTGGCCACAGAAACCCACTGGGTGACCTTGGACAAGTCACACAAGCCTCAGAAAAGCCTGTGACAAGTTCACCTGACGGATCCATAAGTGGAAATGATTTGAAGGCACACAACAAAAAATCTATTTAATGCAGTTATTCAGAAATATTTGCGTCTTAGGGCCATGCTGATTGTTTTAAGTTTACGTGACTTGAAAAATCTGATTTGCAGTACCTAGTAAACCAACATGTGCACTTCCTTGTAAAACAACCCCCTAAAGGATTGTTTACCATCTACAGTGAAATTTCACAATGTGTTAAAAGTCTGTCAAATATGATTGATATATTGTAGTGGATGAATGAACTTGAGTGGGTAGAAACTTTGTGCTTGGCCTGTTGAATATGAAGGCAATAAAAACTACGACTCCATTTTTTATTTCCTCCTCTTGTGGGAGTAGGAAAACACGGTTAAATTTTTTTTAATATGCATTGTGGGTCACATCAGCATTTGAACTTATTTTCCCCAGTGAGTTATTTAACAGCTTATGTAAACCCCAATTGTAATTGCATTGAATGTACACCACTTTGTAAAAAAAAGGTATAAATTACAAATTCAGATAAACAATTTACATTTCTTTTCAGTTTTCTTCCCCCCTTGGAAACTAAACACCACTCTAATTATTTTATCTTAAAGGCTTTTATTCAAGCAGAAACTGCCTTTGTAGCAAAATTGCAAAAGTCAGTAAGGTTCCACAGGAATGGGCCTGTTTCATATTAATTAGAGGGAAGGGTAGTTATTTTACCCTGTAGTCTACAAGTAACAATGACAGTGATTTGCTTAGTCCAGGGGTAGGCAACCTTTCCCCTTTAAGGGCCGAGGGACTTCAGCTCCCAGAAGCCTCAGCCATGCTGGCCAATAGTCCCATGTTGGCCAATAGCTCCTGGGATTCTGGGAGCTGAAGTCCCTCAGCCCTTAAAGGGGAAAGGTTGCCTACCCCTGGAGCCTTAATCTGTTCCTCTTTTCTTAGGTTTAAAGTTCAAGATACTGACAACCAATCTGTGTTTGCAAGTGACATCAAAGCCGGGAGAGAGCACAATATATTGTACAGAAGTGTTGAGAGTGGGCAGGTTTATGACATCACTGGAAGGTCTGCTACAATTTTTCATCCTGTTTCATATAGTGCCTTGACTGCTTGTATAGAAAAGCAATAAAATTAATACATACAGCACAAGACTTCCGATTCTTTATAAATGATGCCCATAACATTCCATTGAAATAACAATTTCTCCTTTCTAAGTGGACATTAGCATCCAACCATTGTTTGCTGGGCTTTTCATTTTAAAAATAAAACAAACAGAAGCCCAAGAGAGACTAGAAAGTAAACTTTAGTAAGTATGCTGTATTCTTCTTTGTTAAACTTCTGATATGCTTGTTTCTGTCTTCCTTTCACATAGGCATATTTGGCTATTTGCCTATAGTACAGAAATTGTCTTGAACTAGTAAGGATATCTTTCAATGAAGAAGGCTTTCCAAGCAGGTTTGGGCCACTTTGGATTTGGTTACTTCAGGTGACACTATTGTTCCCAAAATATCTGCTTTTTGGCAGAAATGGTTTGTGGCATTTACCTGTGTCCTTTTAAAACCCTGTTGCTCAGCAGAAGAGAAGATGTGAGTGGGGTGAGGTTCAATGGGTAGAGAAAGAAGTGGCCTCAGTTTTCATTTTTTCTCTCTTTTAAGAGTAAAATTATATCCTACTCTTTTAAGAGTGAAAAAACCCAAACATAATTCAGAACATCACGTCTTACCAAAGGTTCACTTTAACCACATGAAACAACGTACATGTAAATACATTTAGGCTGTGCTTATGCTATTGTAATTTAAAGGTATAATTTTAATTTTGCTATTGCCATTACATTCAGTGATATATGGGAATTACAATTTTTGAGTAGCATTAATACAAAAGAAATTACTGATGATTTGTGTATGGTGTGATACAGGAGGTCAATGGTTACCACACTGTGAGTTACCACATCGGGTGACGCCAACCCTAGTGACACCACTGTTACCAGAGCTACTACTTCTAGCACTTTTCTTTAAGCAAAGCTCTGCAATATTAGCTATCCCTTGTTTAGGTGCAAAGCGTTAGGTGCCTAAAATCATCTAGTGTGCCCCAGTAGGC